TCTTGGAACATATCACAGAACAGAAAACAAACCTCCAGTTCCTCGATTGTAATCCCATCAAAGCGAAACCTGAGACTTATCGCCTCTTCACTGACGCAGCGTGGCGAACCGATTCACAACTCACAGGACTTGTTTGGGTCCTTCGGAACCACCACAACCGAATCATAGACCAAGGATCGATGGTACAACCCTATACTTCATCACCTCTAATGGCGGAAGCTCTTACGATTCGCAAAGCCCTCTTACATGAGTAAGGGTTTGCAAAATCTTAGATCAGTCTCTGATCCGCCTAATCACCAAGAAGATCCAGAATATTGAGATCTACGAAATTCTCGAGGACATTTCGATACTCTCTCTCAATTTTAAGTTTGTAACCTTTGAATATGTTCAAAAGGATAAAAATATCGATGCCGATCTGTTGGCAAAATGGGCACTAAATTATGTCTTAACCCAACCCGGTTTTGTTCCGGTTTAATGTCGACAAAAAAAAAAGGTTAGATCTAAGAATTTTTTTATTGGAAAATTAGTTGTGCTAACCTTTTCAAAAATATTTAAAAATATGCCCCAATCTTAATGTGTAATGGATTGCCATGTATAACAACACATGATTCTACATGCATTGACACTTTGATTCGATTTTTGTAGCTTTCAGAGAATATGCGAATCTATTACCCGTGCCACTAAATTTGTCTTTTCTGATGAATTTAGTGAAATTCTTACGAAAAAGTTGAAATATAAAACAACTGAAACTCATACTATTAAAACAAAGAATGAAAGTAGCTTACATGTCTCTCACTCACGCACTTGCCTAAAATTACTTGGATTGAATTGGTTAGAAAGCTGTATAGTAGGATTATTTATGTAATTTAAAAATAATTCAAGATTAGTTTTAAAAAGTAACGGTTGATTACAGTTATCATAAAAGGAAATGAGAACAAACATATAAACATCGATCAAATTATATATGTTTGATACAAATAAATTAACAGCCTAATTATATGTTTAATGATATGAGCAACTATGATTGAATTAATATCTTAATAATATAAGAAAATCAATTTCTTTTTTATAAACCACGGAAGTTCTAAACGTTTGGCTCACGATTTCTTTTAATGTTTGGAGTTAACGTTAATAAAATTACATTAAATACATTAATTGTTCTCTCAAAATGAAGTTGAACTAGTAATTTAAACATTTTAAGTTTTATACCAACTTTTTTTTGGCAAAACAGCCGAAGAGCTAGTTAAACAAATTTTGTAACTAATTACAAACTTCATCATTTCTTAATAAAATTTAGTTTACATCCATAAAAAATGGAAGCTAATTAAAAAGATAATAAAATTTTAGGTGGAATACTTTAATTGTGGTTGTGGCGTGGATAAGGCACATATCTAAATTAGAATTACAATGAAAAAAGTGTAGAATAATGGAATTTGGGTGGCTTTGGCCCTAACTGGCAACTTAAAAGTTGTTGAAGTTTGAGGAAAAGTTGTGGAAATAAAGTTTGTGTTACCATTTGCACAACTTGGAGAATTCAGCAGAATTGAGGAATTTGTTTATTTGGAGAATTTAAATAAAAGATTAATGAAGAAGAATTAAAGCACTAAATTGATAATTAATTATATGAAAACTAAGTGGGTTATAATATTTAATTCCATAAGTATTTGAAGTATGAACTAAATTATATGACAAAATTTAAAATGAAATATAACCGTTTTTATTAGAACATTAAATATATAAGAGATTATTTGATTCTTTGGTGTAAAATCTTGTTTAATTACAAAAGTAATGAAACAGATAGTACAAAAAACCATGACGAATAGATCAAGACGAGTAAATTACATCAGATAGACAATAAATTTTTTTATGATATATATGTTTAATGAATTATTAGTATGGACTAAAAAATTAAGTGGAGGTTATTGATTTGTATATTTTAATGAATTTAGATATCAAAACCAAATTCAGTGTAAAATAAAAAAAATATTGATGAAATAATTTGGGTTTAGAAAATAATTTAAGAAAAGACTATTATTTTATAAAATTTAATACATTTATAAACATAAATATTTTATTTCGACAAACAAAATTTTTATTAATAGTTTCATAAGTTTAATTACTTTATTTTTTTTAAATATTCACAAAATTCTGCAGTTACCATTTAAATTCAAAGTTATTATGCTAGATTTTTCAAAAAAACACAAAAAATTCTATAAGATTCCGCAATTCTGCAAATTTTTTTTGTTACCATTTATACTTTATAGCAAAATATAGTTGAATAGTGTACTATACATGTGTACGTCGTTACAACGGAAAAAAAAAAAATAGTGTACGAACCAAGTTCTAACAAAAACTAGTATTAAATTGGTTATTTACTTACGCTGACTAGTCAACTGTGTTGACAGTTGTTGTCGTTGGTCAGTGAACCAGAAAATTAGAGTAAGAAAAAAAGAAAGTAATTTCTTCTACGAAAATTATATTTATTTATACAGATTTTTCCGTTTTATAATTTCTAAATATAGTAATTTTTCTCTTTCCAGGTGTGTTTTCCATTTTTTTCCTTTCTAAATTTCGTCTGTAGAATTTGC